TCTTGCATGGTGTTTGTAAGGTTGCCAGTAGAGCTTCATTCATGCTTTTAGTGCTAAACACTCTCACCAAAGTTGAGGAAATAATTCTTCTTTGAGAGAGAGGTACTTTAATTAGATGGAGGCTGTGTTTTCTGTCTTAGCAAGAGCAAGGTACTGCTGAAAGCCACCCACATAGTGAAACATACAGACTGACTGTTCTTCCAAACGTGGGGTCTATGCATTCACAACCTCTGCTTCTGTCTCTTGCTCTGATTCTTGCTTAAATTCTGCATTGCATGACTGTTGGGGGAGAGGCACTGTCTGGTCCTTCTTATGTCTGTGGCGTATGTAGGAGGAGAGCAGGATTTGAAACATCTCTTCTGATTTTTCTGTATTAGCATGATCTTTGTAATGTTTGCAAAAACTTGCTTTCTCATTTTGGGTTTTGTGGCAGCTTTTGACTTTGTCAAATTGCATGCCGCTAATACAATTATAGATATTCTACAGTTGTAGAATTAACTTCTCTGGAAGGGGATGATTGCATTTACTGTGTTAGTGCAGGCATCTAGAAATTGACTCTGTTCCAGGCTTGCAAATACAAGTTTCAAGATAAAATCTCCACCTAAATCTTGGTACTCCTTTTCAAAGTTTGAATTTTGGATAATGCTCAAGTAATACACTTACATCTGTAAAAAGGTTGCAGATCTAAACACAGCAGGAGCAAAGATGTGTCTGAAGGGAATTGAATCACTCTTGATTCTCACATTTGCCAAGATCCTTCAAGACTATGCTACATCGCTTAGCTAGTTCCCCAACCTAAGAATTTAGGAGCCCTTTTTTGTAGTTCCACTATGGTTTCTCAGAGAATTTAATCTCTTCACCATTCAACCAAAAATGATTTCTTCCCACCATGCTTCTGCCTTGAGGTTACCAGTTTCGTTCAATATTCCTTGGTTATGATTTCTCTGCTGCAACAGACATTATTACATTTCTATATAAAAAGTATATATTTTTTTCAAATCAGTTCTCTTTGCCTAGAGAAGACTTTGAACAATTAAGTCCTAGAAAAATGTCCTCACCCCCAGATGAGAATGAGGACTTGCTTGATATTTTTACTATTTTCATGCGAGCCAAAATGCAAACTTGCCTGCATTTTTTTTCTGTATTTCTGAGATTTTTGCCTCTTAGAATCATGCTTGTGCTATGCTTAATGTATTTTTCTCTATAAAAAAACACAATTAACAGAAAGACTTCACTTCTGTTCATCTCACGTGACCTTGGTGTTGTCTTCTGAGGTTCCTGAAATTATATGTGTGTAGGTGAGTTATGTTTTTTTCAAGTGCTGTATTTGTAGGCATAAGGCTACAGTGGGTAGAAGTAGCTACTAAATGTTCGAGATGTCTTACAGTGCCATCCACAGTGCTAATTAACATGTAGATAAAAGTTTTAAAAGAAAAAAAAAGAGTTATTTCTTTGAATGTCCACCTTTCTTCCTCTTAGCTCCTTAATTCTAAAGACCCTCGAGTCAAGGGACACAGTGAGAGATATGCGGTCTGGACCTCTTATTTGCGCATTTAACAAATACATGGATCGTGTTTGTTAAGGGATGACGGAAGTGGGGGAAGAACATTATTAACTCAGATGGTGTTTAGACAGAGTCTGTCATCTTAAAGCGCGTGGAGATTATGTGTGCCCAGCGGGTTAAAAGTGCATATGAAGAATGAATCCAAGACAATTATAGTTGCTGAGCAGTAATTTTGTTTTCTCGTACTTCTTAAGTGACACTCTGGGTATTGGGAACCAAGTGCAAGGGCTTTTGAAAAATCTTTCATTTTGAATCTTGTAACCAGATGAATAGATTATTTGACAGACTCACAATATAATTTGTAACAAATTCTAGGAGAGCATTTTTAAGTTGGACAGGAAAAAAAATCAAAACTGAAGATAAAAATCCGTGACAGCTTTAGAGCATTTATGGCAAGAGTGTAAATGCCCACTGTTCCTTTTGGGGTAAAACAGTGAATTATTTGAAGGAACATGTATATGAATGTTCCCACTGGGGGTAGGCATACAGAGAGTCATACAAACTGAAAGCTTGCTCTTACTTTACCTGGAAAAGCAGAAGATTTGCCTGTAAGTTTGCCTGTGATTGATGGTGCACTGTTGAAGTAATCAACGTTCAGACCAAGCGAAGAGTTGCAGGAGGGCTTAATGAGACCCAGTGAGCATGCAATAAAATAGCAGATGGGATAAATGTAAGGATGCACTTAAGGAGCAGTGCTATGCTTTGCAAGTATTGATTATTGCCGTTTTAGAAAATAATTTTCGAATCATAACAGATCTTTGAATATAGTGCCCTCAAAGCTTAGTAGCTACCAAAGGGATATACTGTGTTAGTCATTATTAAGAAAGAGAAGTTAGAACAAAACAGAAATAACCATCTTGCATCAACTAAGTACTGGCATATTTTCACTTGCTATGCATTCATATGTGTTTCTTGCTAATGCAGCTATAAGTAAATACACATGCATGCATACACATCCAAAACTGGAATTTTAGTAACTTTATTATTATGGTCATTTGTTATGAACTGATAAATAATCTCCTCCTTTGCTTTACATATCTCAAATTTATTTTTAACTCTTGTATTGCCAGCTTATCATAAAATGCAAATTTAAATTTGGCAAAGCTTAAGGTATTACGTTTTCAGTAGTTTAGCTCTGGAGAGTTTTCACTGGCAACCACTTAATTATAAATCAGTTTTTATTTGGTTAAACTATTTGGTTAAAGTAAACAAAAACAAGTATCTTCGCTCTTCCATCTTATCTTCGGTGACGTTTTAAAACTATATATTCCTTAATAAAGTTGATCTATTTTCTGGCGTCTATGGTGTCAGAGTCCCTTGAGTCCATGCTACCCTATGTTGAAATTCAACTGCTAAAAGCAATCTTTATGCGTTCAGAGAGACAGATAAAAAGGTGCAGTTGCTTCCAGAAGACTGTTTAAAAAAATAGGAAATGAAGGACAGAAAATAGGTATAAAAGAAGCAGCTTACAAAGGACTATAAATGGATATCTGTGTTCAAATAGGTAATACTTGCTGAAGTAACAATTTACTATGGCCATTAGTCACTCCTTTCTCTAAACTACATTTATTTGCACAGTGAAGGAAGTAATATTTTCTACTTTTCTGACTTGATATTTTAATGTTAATTTTCTTTAGAAGTCTGTATGGCTGGTGTGGTCTGTAGATTTTCTTACAGAAAAGACTACAGGTGGGAAGAGGACAGAGTCATAAGCCATGGTGGAGTCATAACATTGCTTTATCAAGAGTTTTTTCAACTTTAAACAAATGGATGTTTCCAATGTTGTGAAAGATCTTCAGTCTAACATACGAAAGAGAATTTGCAGTATTGTTGCATTTAAATCTTAAATACTCTTCTAAATAACTTTGTTATATGAAAAACTCTGCATACGTTCATTCTTTCACCAGTGGGTTAGAATAATAAGCAGGTGAACATTTCAGGGTTTTGTGGTTTAACTGTTTATTTCATCTGTGTGTCACATTACTTTATGAAAATTCAAAGGAAATTAGCAATAAAAAGGGCAATAAATATTTGCTGTGCACTAAGCAAATCCATAAATATGTAGATCAAAGATTTTAAGTGTGTTGAACAATTTAATTGAAATTTAAACTCTTGTGAAATATTTATTTGAAAATCTTGAGTCGCTTGCTTTTACATTGTGCTTTTGACCAAAGAACTCTCTGCAGAGGTCAGTTTAGATTATTTTTATATTATATTCTGACAATGACAGTTGTTCTGAACAGTTTTAGGTCTAGATAACAGAACTGTTACGTAGAAATTCTTCCATTTGTGGGAAAAGAGATAAAATGTGGACATTTGCCCACAGAGCTCTATTACATAGTACTGAATTTCATGTTACACCTGAGCAGGACACTCTTCTCTGAAAGCAACAGTCACAGGAGTTTTTATTTTGGTCTCAGAAGTATCAAAACCACTTCTGCCAGCTCTGTTTCAAATTGTGCTACTAGGCATGATCATCAGGGCTCAAATGCCTTAACATGTACAGCTGCTCTTTTGAGGATATAGTAGTAAAGCTTACTTTTGTTTGATGAAGGTAGCATTTTTGCCCTAAGTCGTTTCCCCTTTGTTACCAAATGTACTAAAAATGATAGCTTGGTTTTACATGTGGAAAAGTGAAGAGCTTTATTGAATTGTTTTCTGGTTCACATTGTTCAGAGCTGTTTCAGTGACAGAAGCTGGTAGGATATATGCAGCATTTCAGAATACCCAGAACAAGGGGCTCTTTATGCTCTAATCTGTTTAGAAAAGCTGATATTTTTGAAAAGCATTCTGGTAACATTAAGAGGGATTTTTTTTTTTCCTTCATTGAGGCACTAGATAAAGATTTAAGTCCCCAGCTCTGGGTCAGTTATCTGACTCTTCTGATCAGGTGCTCAAGAATTGCAGGTTAGTGAATGGGGAATTTGTCATTGTTTCTTAAAGTTTGTCAGATATGCTAAATTTCAATCAAGATATTTCAATCTGCACCCCTCCCCCAACCCTCGCAAAAGTCACCTTCTATTTTGCAGCACTTTCACTAACAAATTTCCAGCATTGTTGAAGACAAATAGATTGAGGGCACAAAGGAAGAGGGAAGTAAGCAATGTTGATAAGCAACCCATTACACAGAGTTTTTCATTAAGAGGCTGGAGGTTAAGGATGTTTTCTAGGTTACATTTTTGGGTTATAACACTGACAACTGAGCAATGGTGCAAGTGGAGATACATTCCTAGGATCATTTTTGAAAGATGCAATCATGATTTGCAAAAGCAGTAGATATGTCATTCCTTGTACTGAAAAAGAGAATTAGGGAATGATCAGAACTTTCCAGAAGTAATTAAATAGTCTGTATATAAATTAAAATATTGTCTCAATAGAATCATATGTAAATGGTTTTAGAAATTTAGACATTTTGATGTGTTAACTTGAGTTTACAAATATTTTCTCTATGTTTTGCAGAATGAAGAGAAGTCATCAGTTAGTTTTCCCTCACTCCTTAGCCATATAACTTCTGCTTTCATAAATCATCCTGTAATTCCAATGACAATTTATGCAGATTCAGGTGTCCCTGAGATACTACATACTTTTTCCCCCCTCATGTCATCCATGCCTTGTGACATGCACATAGTTAATCTGAGGACAATCCAGTCAAAGGTAAGTCAAATTATTATTTTAATGAAGAAGCATATTATACAGCTTATTAATATGGTCTAGTAAAATATTTTATTCATATTATATACAAAATTCAGAAATTACCTTCCTAAACTGCAGTGTAATGACTATGCTTTCATAATTATGTAAAGACTGAAGACCTGCTCTTCCATGCTGGTCATTTTTTGAGTGTCATGACAGCTCTTGAGTATACAGTACCAATTTGTGTACTTCAAAGGGCAAAATACAACTAGTTGTACACCTAAACTAGCATTATAGTTATTATATAAGAACAGTTATTCCCCACTGCAGAAATGCTCTGCATTGAATTTCTTGTATGTCAGAATCAACTTCTTAATTCTTTGCTCATTTCGTGTGTCTTTTTTCTGTCTCCTAAGAAGGAGTGCAAATGCCATAATTTTTATTAATTGACATAGTATATTTTTTACAGAACTGTAAACTTCATACTGCTTTACTTGTTGGAAATGATTTTTCAAGAGATTGCATAATTACAATTTCACAGAAAACTCATTCACAAAAAAGAGATATCAAATTAAAATAGAATGTTATTAAAATCTAAAGCAGAAACCAGAATGTTTCAGTGCGCTAACGCATAAATAAGGAAAAAAATGTAGGGGAATTCCTTGTTTCCATTTAATTTTCTCTCTCAGAGAGGAAAAACAATGCTACTTTTGTAAGATATATGATCCTGTCATAAAAGAATCCAATGTCTTGGGAAGATGAAAATTAAATACATTTTTTATATAAACCCGTTTTTTAAATGGGCTGACACTAATATTACCTACTGTAAATACACTGGGCCTCAGAGATACTGCTTATAAGACAGCATAGCATTTTTTTTCTATGTAGGAGCCCGATGTGAAAACAGCCTTAAACTTTTCAAAGAGACCAAAATTGGATCAAGCCTTGGTAGCCGTTCTGAGAGAGGCAGTCAAAGATTTGATTGTTCAGTACTTGGGGAATTTTTGTCATGTGACATTGCTGTGAAATTTTACAGGATTAAGGATATTGTCATTTGTTGAAAACTGAGAAAATTGATAGACATTTTCATACAGTTATAGCCAAGTTTGGAAAGTATACAGGATGTAAATTAGGTTCATGCTCAGATGTTCCGTTAGGCTTGCATACACTCAGTCTAATTTGGCTAGAGATGGTAGAAGAAGATGCAAGTTAGAGCACATGCAGACATTATGGTAACTTGCTATGTCTTGCATCTTATTTTATAGTAAACTACAACAGCATAATTCTTTACTCATAGCTGTTAGGTGCAAGATAGAGTCCTGGGAAGTCTAAGCAGTTGACTGCCATATCACAGATGTTTATATTTGGCGAAGCTATATTCCTAAACATTTTGTTAATTATTTAATAACATCCTATTTTAAACATTCTGAATCTTAATTAGGATAATATTTAATTTTGAAAAAACTTAGGAGTTGAAATAGTCGTGCTGTCATTTGAAATTTATTATGCAGATGACTACAAGATAATTCCACTGGATATAGAGAAAGTGTTGATATCCTTGACTAGCTTGTCATTTCTAGCATCACTTTACCCCCAAGGGGAGTCAGGCTTTTGCAGTATGAATTTTAATACTTCATTAATCTGATGTTTAGGCAGACAGTATTATTTTTTTGTGCATAAAAATGTGTATTTTTAAGTGCAGTGTTTCCGCTGTATGTCATATCAATGTAGTTAAAACTAAGTCTGGTATCTCATAGTTGAAGACTGCAACTAATTTTGTTACTTCATTGCCATCTTATTTAACGTAGTAATGGTGCAACTGTCCCAGTAAATAATGTAGAAATTTTTCAACCCTCAAAGATATAAATTCACAGAATCTCAGAATGGTTGAGGTTGGAAGGGACCTCTAGAGACCATCTAGTCCACCCCCCCTGCTCCAGCAGGGTCACCTAGAGCATGGGGCACAGGGTGGCAGCCAGGTGGGTTTTGAAGATCTCCAGAGAAGGAGGCTCCACAACCTCTCTGGGTAGCCTGTTCTAGTGCTTTGGCACCCTCACAAGAAAGTCCTTCCTCATGTGGAGGTGGAATGTCAGTTTGTACCCATTATCCCTCATTCTGTTGCTGGCCATCATGGAGAAGAATTTGGCCCCGTCCTCCCTACATTCTTCCCACAGGTACTTGTACCTGTTGATAAGATCCTCTCTCAGTCTTCTCCAGGCTAAACAGGCCCAGCTCACTTAGTCTTTCCTCATAGGATAGATGCTCCAGGCCCTTAATCATCTTTGTTGCTATGCTGGACCCTCCTTAGAAGCTCCACGTCCCTCTTGTCCTGGGTAGCCCAGAACTGCACCCAGTACTCCAGGTGCGGCCTCACCAGAGCTGAGCAGAGGGGCAGGATCCCCTCCCTCCACCTGCTGGCAACGCTCCTCCTGATGCAGGTCAGGATCCCATGGGCCTTGTTGGCCACGAGGGCACATTGCTGACTCATGGTTAACCTGTTGTCAACCTGGGCTCCCAAATCCCTCTCTGTGGAGCTGCTTTCCTCTAATCTGTTCTGGTGCAGGAACCTCTCTGCCCAACTCTCCATCCTGTCCAGGTCCCTGTGAATGGCAGCGCAGCCCTCAGGAGTGTCGGCCACTCCTCCCAGTTTGGTGTCATCTGCAAACTTGCGCAGGGTGCACTCTCTCCCTTCATTCAAGGCATTGATGAATAAAATACTGTAAACCTGTTTAACTGTGTTGATGATGGGCACAATTCATGAAGAACTTGATATTAAGGTTATTTAACCATTTTGTTTGAGAAAGCCTTCTCATGACTTTGGAATGCTGCAAAGCTTTCACCAGCCACTGATTTATGCGCATATCTCATTTCAAGCCTAAATTTATTTGGGAACATTTTTAGAATTTTGAAACAGGGAACTTAAAAAAACTGAGATGTTAAGTTTATTAACTTTTTTTTTTTAGCATCTCAATGAGTAACTGAATTTTCAGTACAATGAAACTGTGACAGTGTTTAAAGAAAGCTAGCTTTCGTTCCGTGGTCTCTCTTATTACGAGGAGATGAGTTTCGCTGTGAAGCGTATTTAATTAAGACATCTCTAATACCTTACAGTTCCAAGGGTTCCAAAGGAAAATAAAAAGCTTAGTGCTTATTGACAAAGCTTGTGTTGAAAAACTGGCAGTTTTCTCGAAGATGTGATGTGAAAACAGCTTTTCCCTGGAGCAGTGGCTACTGCTTATAGAAAGAGCTGAGTACTTAAAATGGAAACATGCAATATGATGAATAAATTCCTTTCTACTGCTTTTCCTGTGTGCTTGATTTCTTATCTCTTAATATGAAACAAACATTTAAATAGCTTCCCAGGCTGTTGCAGCATCGAACTTTTTCTGAAGCACACATGAAAAAGTTGCTTGTTTTATTAGATATCACATTAATACCATACTGTACTAAATCAAGTTTAATCTTTTGGTCTAAACTTTACAGTTGAGGCTGTAGTTTACTGTATGATGCTATTTGAGGCTCGAGACCAACATATATTTTATCTACAAGCATAAAAATTATTTAATATTTTTATCTTAGTATATGGTTTTGTGTGGATTTTGAGTAAGATTTTTAGGGACTAGATATGCGGACTGAAAATTTGATAGAATATAGTCACTGTGAGTAATTAAAACTGGCTATTGGAATTACCACATGCTTTTTATTTTTGTTTTGTTTTTCCCTTGTAATTTATCTAAGAAACAAATTAATACAACTACACTAAACAATTCAAGCAGCACTTAAATTCTGAGTCTACACTAACATATATATCTATCAGACTTTGAACTCCCTGGTTAACAACTTGCCAGTTACTACAGAATACCAATCTATCTCTGAAGTCACTCTGCTGTTCAGTTCTTTTTATGTTTAGTCTTAAAACATTAAAAGAAATATGGCTCTTCAGTCTAGGCTGGACATGATTTGAGGCATAAGTGGCTTTATCACTGTAAAAGTTATAATTTGCTCATGAAGTCCTAGAATATTTTGCTTGTTATGCTGAATTATGAGTAACATTTTGTTTCTTTCATTTATTTGCAGGCAGATTTTGAGCCATCTGATGAAGCTGCTCTGATTCTTCACAGGAAGGGATTTGATTGTAGATTTTCAAACAAAGACATGGGTCAGTTCTGTTCTACTACTCAGGGAAAGGTATAGTGACATTTTGTGGATATTTTCCTGTGTATTTTTTGCAAAAAGATTGATACCAGGATAAAATTGTAGCTGAGGTCTTAGGAGTTATTTCTCAAGAGGGATAATTTCAAGATATTAGTATATTTAATATTATATATAATATTATAGTATATTATAATATGAGCATATTAGTTGCATTTATCTCAGAAGCTGAGTGTAAGGCTTGCCTTTGATAACGATAGAAAATTTCTTGTGTGTAAATCATCACGCAAGTATCAGCGCATAAATGTATATGCTGAAGTTCTTATCTTATTAGATATTATTTCAAGCAACTGATCAATATTCCTTAAATAATTTTCAAACAGTGTAGTGTAAGCAAGTTGATCAAAAAAAGGATTGAATTACAAATTCTTCAGTGCCTGTAAAGTATTAACATATTCAAAAGTTATGTGACTGCTACTTTGAAAATTACCACTTACAGCATATCTTTGTCTACTGCTGGCTTGTATGGCCAACCTCACTCCATATATCTGAGCACGTTGTACATGTCCTAGAATTGTGATGATATGTAACTCCTGATATTATGCAGATTTTTTTCTAGGTTAAAGGTTAAAGATCTTGGAGTAGTTAGTAGTGCTTTTGTAGGATTTTCAAATCTTGAAAGAGGTTTGGGATTTTCATTAACAGATGACTGTTGTGATTAGAAACTGGAAGAGTCTGAATCCAAATATTTCTATCATTTTTTGTCCATTTATTGTTATCTTAATTTAGTTTCTTTGAAGTGTTAACAAGTGCAAGTGTTACAAGTTACAAGGCACTGCCTAAAGTTACTTTTTTTTCTAGTATATAGCATGTAAGAAATGCTATGGAGAAATATTTGTGATATCATTGGCGTAAGATCTGCTGTGTTATTGCCTGTAAGAAATGTATGATTTGCATGATTGCTAAAGATTAAAGTCGATTTTAAGGTATATGTTCTATTTTCTAAAAATATATTTTCTTCCAGATAAAGGTGCATAAACTATTTAACAAGTTCAGCGTAGAAAGTCTTACACCTACATCTTTATCTTTGATGCATTCACCTCCAGATGCTAGAAATATAAGTGAAATTAATATGAGTTCCATGGAGATAAATACCTTCCGGATTCGGCTAAGATGAAATCTGGCTTTAATACTCAGAGAAGAGGAATCTGTAATTGTATCGCCTCCACGTGCAATAAGAAGCACATTATTATTGTTCCAGCTTCTGGATACTGTGAGAAAAATTAGCATACGTTCTATAGTTCTTTGACCAACACAGTGAAAAGCCATGTTGCAAGGAACATTTCTTTTTTTTTTTTTTTTTTTCATGGAATACCGACATCAGTATAAATTAATGCAACAAGTGAAGAAATTTTAAAGGATATTAACCTCTCAACAGATTAAATCTCAGGTTAAATGCTAACTAATAGTGTATCTGGTGTTCTTATTTTAGTTTTCATAGAAAGGGGATTGAATTTTAAACAAACTGTTTTGTTGATACTACATAAATATATGTACAAATAATTCAGCGTAGAAATGCCTGATGCAGCTTGGAATTAAAATTGAATAAAATATTCTTGGGTATTAGCTAATGTCCAAATATTTACAATCATTTATATTGTATAAATGACAATAATTTCAACTTATTCCACAATTCATTTCAACTTGTTCAACAGAAAAGAGATTTTTGAATTGTGGTAGAGTGAAAACTTGCAGTCCTTGTGATAAGTGATGGTAGATTTTAAGGCTCCTACCATTTGCTTGAGCTATGTAACTACAAAAACATGAATCTGCAAAACAATTTTGTGTTCAAAATGTTTAATATAACTCCCATTTTGTTACTTGACACACTGGGATATGTGCAATTATTCCATTATCATAAGTGATGAAAAATGTCAATAATTGTCATGAATACAAGATTTTTTACAAAATTCATTTGGATATTGATGTTCTCTGAAATGAGTTTTCTATTTCAAGATTATCATATCAAGATAAATGTGCCTTATTTTTTGATACGTCTTGTTACAATTTTGGTGTCTACATTAATGTTTTGGGGGAAGGGTAGTTTATATAATACTTAAACTGTGTATCTCCTATTTGATAATGCTGGCCACACTCTGATCTATGTCCTCCTGCACCAAGTTTGTGCTATCTTGTTCTGAACATTTTGACTATTTGAATGTATTAAAATGATGTCATATCACAAAAAAAAAAAAACAAGAATTACTGTAAAACCTAAATTCAGCTGCTTTCAAGGAAATTGCAACTTGATGCAGAGATTTGATAGTGAGCAAGACATAGTTTGCAAACCCATCATGAGTCATGCTTTTGTGTCACAGATCATGGTGACCGGTGCATTCAGAATCATGTGCCTATATTTTAAACATAATTTCTCAAACTTACAACTTCACCTAACATTGCCACTGTTCACAGTACTAAAAAGTAGATTCTTACTCTTCCTGTTTTTTTTCACATATCGACTTCTTTCTGAACATATTTCACATTTATTGCTAAAGCCATCTGAGTGTGGAAAATATTTCCCTGTGTAGAACTACTGTTTACAATTGAAACATAAACATGTATTTGAATGTGATCCCCTTTACTGAGCTTTTTTTTTTATTTTCATACTGCTTATTTTCACCTCTTGCTTAACTTTTACTTTTCCATATGTCACTCTTTAATAATAATGCATGAAAAGTCAACTGGTAAAAAGATGTGCTATTTTCATACTGCCAACAGTACTTAATTTGATCATTATCGTTCCACACTGTATCAAATTACATCTTGTAGCTCCAGGCAATCATAAAGAAAATGACAGTAAAGTTTTAATTTCATGCTTTGTCATGGCTGGATCTCTATCAGGATTGCCTATGTCTCCCTACTTAACTCAATCTACTGTATGTTTTTGTAATTAATGGAATATTAGCAGGTTCTGGTGCAAGTTATGTCAAGAGCATAAAAACCACTAACCATAAATGGAAGAATCAGATGGATCCAATAAACGGATGTTTTCATGCAATAAACATGTACTGTAAGTTTTCTTAGTTGTAGTGTTTGAAAAAAAATATAGTTTTTTTTTTTGTTGTTGGAACCTACAGCCTGGTAAACTTGCCAACAGAAGATTCTAATAACATTTATTTTGTTGCATCTTAAGAATTAAAACACTTCGGAGACTTGTGTATGTTCTGTGCAAGACAGGTTTCAAAATTCTATTTTAAGTTTTGTTAAATAGAAAAGTAAAATTTTGATGCAATAAAATTTTGAAGTATTTTGCCTGTTGGAATTGCTTCCAAAAGATGTTTCAAGGAATTATAACATTTTAATTTATCATCAGCTGTACAATCATGATGCCTGAATTTTCCTTAACCAGCAGATTTATTCTGTTCTGTTGCTCTGCCTCATATTTTTCTTCCTTTTTTTTTTTTTTTTTTTTTTTTTTTTTTTTTTTTTTCAAAAAAAAGAAAATTTAAAACCTTTAACTAAGTTAAGACTCCAAAGTTTGATAAGAGATTTTACCGTAATTGGTTCAGGATGTGCCATTGATGCTTTTCACAGCGGCTATTGTGAATTCTAACTTATATTAAGATATATCACATTCTTGTTTTTCAGTGCATTTGCCATCTAATTTCATCATATTCTTTACTTTTTTTTCTGTTTTTATAGCTGCTGGGTTTTAACTACTGGTTAAGAGAACCAAGCATCTTACTTTCAACCAATATTGTTTTAAAGACAATGCTGTGTAAGAAATGGTATAAAACTTTGTAATTACTCTTCATATCAGAGTTGTACCTGTACTAAGATTTTTTTACATTCCTTTATCTGAAATGTCTTTGTTTTTTCTTGCTCATATTGTCTCTGAAACCAATTGATTTAAATTGAAGGTTTTTGATATTTTCTCTTGGAAGGTTTTATATCTTATGGGGATATGTAATATAAGACCTCTAATAAAAGATGATCTTATTGTGAGATGTGTTCAGTGTCATCAATGCCTTTGCATTAGCTAACTTAAAAACAAAGAAATAATAATAAAAAAACCCAGCAAGCATGATTTCTTTAAGAATTTTGATGTATCGGTAATTTTGGGGGTAAGAATTTTCTGAATAAGTATTTTCAGTAGTATAATGCACTGCTGATGAAAGATGCCATCTTATTTCACAGATGCCAAACATGAGGGTGGGTACCAAGTTCAGAGACCTTAACATATGGGAATGCAGGACATGGGAAGGGAATGGACACTGCTTTCACAAACGAAATCTGATGGTAAAATAACAGAAGATAATAACAAGTATGAAACGCTAGAATTACTTTTTATTTTAACTCTTATATTCATCTCATTTCTCTTTCTATGTATTTTAGAGTCATAGAATGGAACTTATTCACAGAGCAAATTAACCAGTAGGCTATTAGAAAATACAGTCAGAGTACGTCCACAATTAGACTGAATGCTTTTAAGTTTGTAGTAATAATACAGTACAGTGTAATTGTGTGTGACAAGCTGAAGAGTCATAGATGCTTTACATGTTTGCTTCCCAGAGTGTTGGTAGAGTTTCATAATGACAAAGACAATTAGTATAAGTTTTCATCTGGGACTAGATGATGAACTAGTTGTAGCTGTCAGTATAGGACAGCATGCAGACATCACTGCATCACCCATAATCTTAAAGGTAAATAGCAGGAAAAACAGTAGAAATACAAAACATGCATCTGAAGCGGGCAGCAATGGATATGGGTTCATTTTGAAGGTCACCTTTCTAAGGTCATCCTGCTCCAGAATTCATTAATATCATGTGACAATCTGCACAGTTATCACTGCATTAATTACAGATACTGTAAAAATTCCTTTTTGAAATACAATAGCTGTATTTGACGTTTATCTGGTTACATTTAAACATAACAGCCACCACATACTGCCACACAATCTTTCATCACAATTTCTATTATAAATACCACCTGATACGTTCAGCAATTTGTCTGTTGGATATCATATCAAGGGATAGTTGTTCTTAAACAACTGCTTTGACTGCTTCTTTTGCACACTACACTGTGCAGTAAAGGATCTAAGATATTATTTGAATTTATATAGGACAGCTCAGAATTATATTAAGAGTCAATTTGATATCCTATTCATTTTAGCGACTCTCTGCTCTTGTAATATTTAATAATGTATTTTTAAGAATTACAGCATATCTAAGAACTTTCATCAACAGAAGTCAGCAAAAAGCATTTTCTAAAATAGGGAATATATAAAAAGAATTAATATAGGATGCTTAGAATGCTTCTTTGGAAAGTATTGGAATTTTCAGGCAGGCAACTATAAATTGCGGTCCTAAATTGTGCATCTTTCTGTCTTTTAGTATACAGGCTTTACAAAATCAATATTTTTGATACATGTTGTATCTCCAGCTTTTGTCTTCAAGAATTTCCGTGCAGTGGCAATAATCTATTATTTATACTACTGTCTTTCACATGAATTATTTACTAACACTGTGGATAATGAGAAAATGAAATAACTGTTTCTTTATCAAATGTAAACTTGGTGCTATATCCCACTGTAAAGATGGGATATACATTTCAGAGCTTTAGATTCACAGAGCAACAGACGCTATATAGTAGGAAAAATGTGTAAAAGAAGGTGCCCTTTGATTAATAATCTATAAGCCTATTGATGTTATGGGCATAAACAAATCCTAATGCTATCTGCCCTGCTGCACGCTGTGTGCATTGTGCGCACCCAGGGTTCAGGGAGGAATGTACCTCAATTTCTTCCGGTCATGACTCAGTAAATACTTCGTGGTCTCAGATATCTAGTCTATTTTTGTTTCTCTTTTAACTTGGCTGTTTCTTATGTAGTGATCTCTCCTTTCTTTGCATGCCAGCTAAATGCTTCTTGGTCTTTTTTTGTTTTGTTCCTTGATGATACAATTGTTTGTAAAATTTCTGCGCTGACCTTTGCCTCTGATGGAACAGACTACAGTGTTCCTACCTGGCTGTGCAAGTTGCCGTTATCGCTTGGAAGAGCGCACATCCCTCCCAAGGACAGGACTGTTCTCTTGGATCTCCCAGGCTCTCTTTCGAATTTTAGGTCTATTGGCTTTAAGCTCGTTTCAGTTGAGTTCCAGCAAATTATGCTTAAGCTTCGTTTTAGGAAGGAATAATATAGCCTGGAACTCCAACTTGTGTACTCTGTCGGGCCAAAGGGAGGTTCAAATTGGGCCTTGAGAGCTCGTGCCCCACAGATCTAGATCCTGCATTTTCAGCCAGCTATTTCTGACTGTTCCAGCCTCCTCATTTT